ATGTAGATAAAATTCATTTAAATTTTAGCCAAGTAAGGTGAAATGGAAAAAAATGTTAAATGTTACAACAGTAAAAAATGACATGTAGATTATTAAAATTCAGTGCAAATTTTGCTTGTAGCCTTCAACAACTGAAAAACTGGACAAAACATGTAAAGCTTTTTTTTTTTTTTTAAATCCTCACCTGAGGATATTTTTCCATTGACTTTTAGGGAGCGTGGAAGAGAGAGGGAAAGACAGAGAGAAACATGGATGTGAGAGAAACACATTGATTGGCTGTCTCCTGCATGTGCCCCATCCAGGGCCCCAGGGCCTGGGCTGAGGAGGAGTCTGTAACCGAGTTACATGCCCTTGCTGGGAATCAAATGTGGGACCCTTTGGTCCACAGCCAGATGCTCTATCCACTGAGCCAAACCAGCTAGAACTATTCTTGTTTTCTAGCTCAAAAGGATCCAGCATCTTCCCCACCCCCACGCCTAGGTGCTGACTCTGCCTCCATTCCAGGGTAAAATAGCACTTAATACTGACAGAAACTGGAAGAACAGTTTGGTATATGACTATTTCTGGTTTCGTCACTAATTTTTTTTATTATGTTTTCACTAGGTTACAATCAAAGTTATTATAATGTGCAAGTTGCCAGTATTTCAGAAAATTAATTGCAGTTTTCTGTTACTATATTGTGCCTTGTTCCAATTAGAAAATGAAAGCAGAGAGGGAACACAAGCAGTTTATAGTGTTTTGAGAATTTAGCAAAACTTTAGCTCAGCAATTCCTAAATGCCTAACTAAAAAACAAAACAGAAATGAACAAAAAGCCCTCCCTGGCTCAACTGTAAGTGAGTCCAACAGAAAGTAAGGCCCTGCCTATCTGGCCTGCAGGAGCTTCGAATGGACAGAGGGGTGGGGGGAGGAAAGTATGTGCCTGTCTTATTCTTCCTGGCTTTCCAATCATACTAAATTGGGAAGACTAACTTCAGTAAGCAGAGAAGGGAAATAACAATAGACACAAGAGCCTAGAAACAGGATAAAAATTAAAATGACTCAACAGAGGAAGAAAAGAATCCAGCACAGAGATATTCAAGGTCGAACTCTGGAAAGCAACAACAGCTGAGAAAAGATGGGAGGTGAAGCACGGACAGCCCAAAAGCTATGAGTTTGGTAGGAAATGGGACATAAGTGCCACGGTGCCTGCAACAAAATTAGCCAAAGCACCACACACAAAACTGCAAGAAGTAAACCTGAGACTGTGTCTCTGCCTTGAAGGGGCTGAGAGGACAGAAACCTAAAATGAAGACAGTAGTCATTAAGAACAGCAGTTCCCGCCGAAACCGGTTTGGCTCAGTGGATAGAGCGTCGGCCTGCGGACTGAAGGGTCCCGGGTTCGATTCCGGTCGGGGGCATGTACCTGGGTTGCGGGCACATCCCCAGTGGGGGATGTGCGGGAGGCGGCTGATCGATGTTTCTCTCTCATCGATGTTTCTGACTCTCTATCTCTCTCCCTTCCTCTCTGTGAAAAATCAATAAAATATATTTAAAGAAAAAAAAAAAGAAGAAGAACAGCAGTTCCCAAACTCAAGTGCATTATCAGGATCATCTGGAAAGCTTGTTTTACAAATACAAATTCCTGGGTCCCTCCCGCCCCATTCTTACTGATTTTAAGTCTGACGTGGTGCCTGTGCTTTAACAAGGACTCCACGTATTCTCATGAAGGTGGTCCAAGTAGCACAGTTTACAAAAGCACTGACCCAGGAGTCTGAAGAACTGCTTAGAATAAATGTGCCAAGACTAACAGTGACTAGCAATTCATTTTCAGAAGAGGTTTCACTTGGGATTGTGTAACAGATCATCTCTTGTCGGAGAGATGTCACTTAGTGGGGATTACAGTAAGTCAGTGCTCTGAAGGACCTTCTCTCGGGAATGTCTGTGGCCCAATAAGCTCACCTCTCTGAACATATTACCACAGTGAATTCCAAGAGGCAACACCAAAGAGGAGAATTCTGGGTAGAGAAGCTCTAAGACAAGCCCATTACCCACAAAAGCATTCCTTCAAGGACAGAGCTAGACATTACAGATGGAGACACCCACCTATACTTACCTGTTCCAAGAGGGAGATGCTCTACTGTCCCATTAAACCCTTGCTCCCTGTTCTCAGACAAAACTGCACTTCTTGCCTTACATGGTGGTACAGCACAGCTATCCCCAAAAGCTGGTGTCTTCCCTTCCACCAGTGAACGAATTCAGGGACATTTGCTGAGTGCTTTGGTGCCTTTGGACGTTAAGGGGCAACCAAGACCTGGAAAACCAGAAACCTTTCTGTAGCATGGGGCTTTCACAGTCAGACTGGTGGACAGGTGACTAAAACCTTGTTGGGAAGCCTGGATCCTGTCTCTTGAGTGAGAGGAACACATCCCAAATGGGAGCTTTCTAGTTACTTCAGCGCCCTCTCCTAAGCAGCAGATGGTGCCTATTGAGAATCAAGAAAGCCTCGCTGGGAGGCCTGAAAAATAGCTCTTGTCACGAGGCGCGCAGCAGCTGGCTAGTTGCCTTGAGCCCCTTAGCAGGACAGCAGTGAATTACCCCATCTCCTCAGCAGACTTCTCCAACTGCACTCCCTGAGCTGCCAGCTCCATATGTGACAACATCTTGGCTCCCACCCTGTAACTGCTTGCCCTTAGCCAGGAGTTGGGCAGGAGCCCTGGCTTCCGGAAGAGACTGGAGATGTCCATTAGTGTTGACGAAATCAGATCCTGTCTCTTGATGATTATAAACAATTATTCCCTAATTAGGCAGGGTTAGAAGAACAGCTGTTGGGACCAGGATTCTAGGTGGCAAAAAGCAGACACCAGGTACTTTGACCATCCAAATGTTTAAGATAAGCAAAATAAGAACATTTAAACTAAAATTCAACTCCATCCTCAAATATCTAGATAAGAAAATAAACCTGATGAAGTCCTCTCCTGATCATTCCATGTCAAATATTTCTGTTTATATGGAATCCAAGAATCAGAACTCTCCTGTCATTATGATGACAAGAGTAGATACTATTCTTGAGACTCTCTTTCATTCCTTGTTCCTCCTAAATGTCAGGCTCCCTATTAGGTACGCAGACTATGTAAAGGTAAAACAGACAAGTTGTCTGTTCTCAAGGAGAACACAGCCCGAGAGCAGAGTAACATGGAAACAAGTAACTGCAGGGTGGTGTGGTGAGTTACCATGTGTGTGTCTACTAGGTACGGTGGTGGCACAAGGAACGATCAATTCTGTTTAGGAAGGTTCCACAGAAGGGGAAAAGCTTGTGGGCAGTTGGATTTGAGGGAGAAGAGAGCATTCCAGGTAAAGGCACACTAGCAACAAAGAGCCTTATTAAATTCAGGTGCTTGGAAAGGGGCTCAACAGAAGGTCCCTATAGGACCCAGGAGAGAGAAGAGAGAGGATGGAGACCAGAATGGAAGCCACTGCACCATATAATGGATCTAATCTTTAGTTTTTTTCTTTAAAACAAATGCTTCCCATTCCAGGCATTTGTATGCATTGCACTAAATGAGGGGCCGTGGGGGATATGTCCCTATGGAGCTTATACTAAACCTAACTCTGTGGATTAAACATACACACCACACAAAACAACACATAAACACGTGCATAACAGAGCTTAAATAGCATTTAGTTAGAGAACTGTTCAAATGCTTGACTCCCCTTGACAAAACCCTGGTCAAATGAGCCACTATGGGATGTGGAAGCTCAGTCAGAAACTAGTCTAGTTGAGTCCAGAAGGCTTTTATGGCAATAAAGGGACCCAACTCCGACAAGAAAGAATCCTAAATAGGACCTTCCTCTGCTACTGAAATGGCAGAGCAGTTAAGAGTATAGCAGCTGCCCAAAGTCCTCATCATTATTACTATCCACAGCAAAGAACAGTTAATAGGTGTATTTTTATAGCTTGATTTCTAAAAAAAAAGAGTTTTACGTAGGCTACATCTATCATTGAGATCTTTATGTATCTCCACTAAAGGTCTCATGTGGAGGTAAGGACGTATTCAGTTTGGTCTTTAACCAAAAATGCTTTCCGGCCTCTGGGGAACCCAGCTCATGAGCTAGGCCCACAGTGATGGCGAACCTTTTGAGCTCGGCGTGTCAGCATTTTGAAAAACCCTAACTTAACTCTGGTGCTGTGTCACATATAGAAATTTTTTGATATTTGCAACCATAGTAAAAGATTTATATTTTTGATATTTATTTTATATATTTAAATGCCATTTAACAAAGAAAAATCAACCAAAAAAATGAGTTCACGTGTCACCTCTGATACGCGTGTCAGGTTCGCCATCACTGAGCTAGGGTGTGAGAAAGCTCCTGCCCTTTAATATTCCACAGCTTCCAAAGGTAAAGCCTGCTGGTCATGCACAGAGTGACTGTAGCCTTTCCTTATGCCTTAGGAGCATATCTGGTCCTGGCTCGGCGATCGCCCCGTTGTCCTTCATTCCCCTGCCAATCCTAGGAGAGCTGCCATAGAGCAGAAGCACAAGCAATGACACTCACCCGCATGGAGGTCTCGCCACCATGGGCCTGTTGCAGCCTGAAGACCTGGGCCACCATGTGCTCTGTGGAGGGGTGCAGCAGGATCCTTCGTGAGGCCAAACCCACCATTACGTACCGGCCCATTGGGGACAGGCTCACCGAAATGGCATTGGGACCTGAGGGTCAAGAGAAGAGAGAACCATTTCCCAGCGTTCTTGCTATTACAAGGAAATAATTTTTTCCTCTTAATCTTTTTTCTTTCTCTCCAGCCTCCATCTTCATTTGGTCATTTTGGGGTTAACACATAGGACTGTAGTGAGGAGTATAATGCAAAGTACCGAGTATAGTGTCTGACATATAGAAAGTACTTAATAGATGTTAACCACTGTATGGAACCCATAACAGATTCACATTTTAAAAAACTGGTAACATACTGTAAATACTATTTTGAAATCTACTTTTTCACTTCACACATTATGAACATTTTCCATAATTAAATATTCTGTAAGAACATTTTAAAGGCCGAATGGTATTCTGTCCTATCAATGCACATCGCTTATTTAAGCAACTCTTCCCAATTTCACATTTTTTCTATGATAATTAATAGTACTGTGGATATCATTGCATATAAAGCTTTGTACAGTTTTCTTATTATTTCCTTAGTAGTGAAATTACTGGATCAAAGAGAAAATACATTTTGGGGGCTTTTAATACATAATGCCAAAATGCCTTACAGTTTATGAGTGTGCCCACTTCCCAAGCCAAAGTCCCTCCTTTACTCCTGGCCATCACAATAGGAACAACATATCACTGATGCTATTGTGGTAGGGAGACCTCTTATTCTGAGATTCTTTGGCAATGCTTCCAGGCGGGACTCCCGCAAAGCAATCTTCCTCTGGTCTGTGCCCAATGAAGACCATTACTCCCACCTCAGCCATGCCTCCCCTAGGAACGCTCATTTCAAGGTACCAGCATCCCTCTGCCACTAGGTTGGGCTTCCTATCCCTTACCAAATCGCTTGGTGTAGAGCATTTCACCCAAGTTGTGGGGGGCCAGGGAGTACACTGCCAGGATGCCTTCATCGGGAAAGCCCCTTTGGCTGCTAGGGATGAAAGCTGCCAGGAGTTGGCCATCTGCAGAAATGTCACAGCTGGCATCATTGTAGATCTTGCAGTTCTGTACCAGCACATTCACGGAGGCTGCATCAAAGAAAGAAAAGAGGGTGAAAATGTCTGTAGTTGATGGGATGAAAATTCTGGGCCAAGCCCTGGCTGGTATGGCTCAGTTGGTTGAGGTCGCTGGTCAGGACACATGCCTGGGTTGTGGACTCGATCCCCCGTAGGGGGCTTGCAGGAGGCAGCCCATTTGTGTTTCTTTCTCACACAGATGTTTCTCTCTCCCCCACCCTTATTCTCTAAAATCAATAAAAACATATTTTAAAAATATTTCTGGTCCAAGTAATTTGGGGGCCTTTGTAAGGGCCTGAACCCTCTCTATAAATGCTAAAGGCTGCTTAATCAAATTCAAATGTCATTAACAAGTAACACTAGAGACAGGAAAGAGATGTCTCCTTTACGACTTCATTTTATTTATTTTTTTCCTCTACCACTGTAATATGAAACTTCAGATAGTTAACACACCCACAATCGCCTGCTGAATCTTAGTTCACACTTAGGAAACATCATTTGAGAGATTAGATAAGGAAAAAGTTATTATAAATTGTTCCTGGAGAGCCACTCAGCAGCTGTTATAGTCCAAAAGATCAAAACCAGGATGAATGAAATGCAAACCCACAGACTCCAGGAAAAGGGTGATACAGGTAAACTTCCTTGGGGTGCGACTCCTATCCACACCTGCTTTGTGACCTTGAAGAAGGAAGTCATTTCATAAGTCTGTGTCTCACTTTATCACTTAAGAGAAGTGGAACATTTACAGACACCAATCTTCTGAACAGCCCCTTGCTAATACTAATACCTAATTTCACAGTGAGGATAAAGAGAAACAAAGCCAACATCCATGGGCAGCCCCAGTCTGCACGCTTTAGTGTGAGTTTGTGTGAGTGTGAGTGTGTGTGTGTGTGTGTGAAGAGGGTGTGGTGTGTTGGAGGAATGTCTGCAGGTAGAGAGAATCTGCTCCCCACGAAGCAGACTATGCCTGTAGTTTTGGTTTCATTTGAATCCTTCTCCAATTCCCCACCAGGAAGAAGCGGCTTACCCTTGAAGTGTGCCTGGAACCAGAGTGTCCACATCATGGCACAAGCAGAACAACACAACACATTCAAAGGGACCGAGCTGCTTTGGGCTTTGTCTCATTTAGGTCTATTTTATATACACGTGCAGAGACACTTACTCTTATTCGAAGATTACTTGGCTGTCTGCTGTCAGAGCATTATGGTTAAAGAGGAAAAAAAAGAAAGCCAAGCTCAGCTGCCCTCACCAGATCCCAGGTGATCTGCCGTATTTGCCGGCGTATAAGACGACTGGGCGTATAAGACGACCCCCTAACATTTCCACTCAAAATACAGAGTTTGTTATATACTCGCCGTGTAAGACTACCCCCTCTTCCGCACACCTTCCACACACCAAATAAAAGGTAAAACAATATCAGATTTGATTTTAACATTTTAA